ACAAGTGAAGCAAACAATTCAAACAGTTCACAGTTTGAAAGCACAATTAGAAACAATAAAGAAAACACAGAATGAGGAGATGCTGGGAATAGAAAAGCTGGGTAAATGATCAGGAACCACTGATGTAAGCATAACCAATAGACTCCAAGAGATGGAAGAGAGAATCTCAGGTATTGAAGACTCATTAGAGGATATACAGTCATCAACCAAAGAAAATCTCAAGTTCAACAAGTCCCTAACACAAAATATCCAGGAAATATAGGACACCGTGAAAAGACTAAACCTAAGAATAATAGATATAGAAGAAGGTGAAAAAATTCAGCTCAAAGGTACAGAAAACTTATTCAACAAAATCATAGAAGAAAACTTCCCAACCTACAGAAGGATATGCCTATGAAAGTACAAGAAGCTTATAGAACACCAAATAGATTGGACTACAAAAAGAAATCCCCTTGCCACATAATAATCAAAACACCAAACTTACAGAATAAAGAAAAATATTAAGAGCAGCTAAAGAAAAAGACCAAGTAACATATAAAGGCAGGCCTATCTGAATTACACCCGACTTCTAAATGGAAACTTTGAAAGCCAGAAGATCCTGGATAGAAGTTTCACAAATGCTAAGGGAACATGGATGCCAGCCCAGACTACTGTATCCAGCAAAGCTTTCAATCACTATAGATGGAGAAAACAAGATATTCTATGACAAAGCCAGATTTAAGTAATACATATCCACTAATCCAGCCCTACAGAAATTAATGGAAGGAAAACTGCAATGTATTGAAGATAACTATGCTCAAAAAACTATAGGTAGTAGATATTATTACCACTTTATTTATTTATCTATGGGTAATAGATATTGTTACCCACTTTACCAAACACCAAAATAAAAAAGGGAGGAAATCCACACATAATAACACTACCAACAACAAATCCAAAACAAACAAGAATCAACAATCAATGGTCATTAATATCACTCAATGTCAGTGATTTTAACTTGCCTATAAAAAGATACAGGCTAACAGAATGGACAGGAAGACAGAATCCATCCTTCTGCTGCATACAAGAAACACAACTCAACTTCAAAAACAGATGGTACCTCAGAGTAAAGGGTTGGGAAAAGATTTTCCAATCAAATGGACCCAAGAAACAAGCTGGTGTAGCAATCCTAATATCTAATAAATTAGACTTCAAACTAAAATCAATCAAAAGAGATGAAGACGGCATTTCCTACTCATCACAGGAAAAGTCAAGATGAAGTCTCAATACTGAACATCTATGCCCCGAATATAAAGGCACCCACATTTGTAAAAGAAACATTACTGAAGCTCAAATCACACATGAAACCTCACAACTTACAGTGGGAGACTTGATTACCTCGCTCTCACCACTAGACAGGACCACCAGACAGAAACTTAACAAAGAAACAAAAGAACTAACAGAAGTTATGACCCAATTGGGATTAACAGACATTTATAGAACATTCCATCCAAACACAAAAGAATATACCTTCTTCTCAGCGCCACATGGAACCTTCTCTAAAATTGACCACATACTTGGCAAAGCAGCAGACCTTTGAAGGTTCCCCATGCAGGGCCTCACTATCCCTGGAGAGGAGTTGGGGGGTGGGGTGGTGGGGGTTAGTGGGGTACATGGGAGGATGGGAGGGCAAGGGAATGGGGGGATGGATGTGTAAATGAGTAGTAAAGAATAAAAAAATTGCAGCTTCAAAAATTAAGACGGGGGAGTAATGTCCCTAGTCTCCACATGATGCATTAACTAATGCACCCTTCAATTTCAGTTTTTAAAATAATGGATGCCAGTGAGCAATCTTCTACAGACAGATTCTGACATGATGCAACTTGAGAGACTTTTTGCTCAGGTCAGATAGAGACATCCATACACTAGACAGTGGAGAAGACCCAAGTTGGGGTGGAGGAGATGTTTGTGTTTTTTGCAGGAAAAGAATAAAGTGAGATGGCTGCCAGACCATTTGGTTAAATGCCTGGAGCAGAGGAAAACGGGACCTAAAACCGTGGGAACCTGCCCAAGCCAGTTCGAGTGAGACACCATGAACCAGTGCTCCTGACCCTTGATGTCACCAAATCTACAGTCTGTGGAAGAAAGGAGGTGGTGGGTTCCAGAGTTCCAGTTTCTCAACCAGCCGGCTACATGGATTTCCCAGATGCATGAGTTCTCATTCCAGAGCCGACAAAGAACTGGAGGACTAACAGCTTGCGTTTTGCCACAACTTGAGACACAGAACTCTTTTGCCAGTTTTTCCCATTGGGGGAAAAAGGACCCACTTAGAACAACTGGACACTAGTATGGACGTGATGAGTGGCCAAAGCCCCTTCTCAGTGTTTGAACAGGACATGGACAAAAAGTTTTTCAGTTAACATTCAAGGACTGTGATACTGCAAACCTGATTTCAGAATTTTACAGCCAGCAGAACATTGGACTTTAGACAAAAAGAAAAGGATTCACAGAGCATTGAACTCTAGACAGGGAACATATGAAAAAAAGTTTAAAATTGTGGAATTGTTCAAACTCCATACATCATATTAACATTTTATTGTCTTTTGATTTCATTGTAACTCACCCTAATGTATGTTCATACTGGAATTGTTAATGTTTGTAACCTTTGCTGTATGTGCTATGCAAAGATTTATGTATACAAAAAGTCAGAGTTCATTCTAACAGGAATGTAAAGTGTAGCCTACAAGTCTTAGGGTAAAAATGTGTTTAGAAACAAGGCATTGGTGGTGCACGCCTTTAATCCCAGCACTTGGGAGGCAGAGACAGGCGGATCCCTGTGAGTTCAAGGCCAGCCTGATCTCCAGAGTGAGTGCCAGGATAGGCTCCAAAGCTACACAGAGAAACCCTGTCTCAAAAAAACAAAAAACAAAAAATAAACAAACAAAAAATGTGTTTAGAAAAGCAGATTTGGGTATTGACGTAACCAGAGGCACACTGGTTTTTAATAGGCCATTTTAACTCTGTTCATTCTGCTCCCTTTTTGTAGGAGATTGTTTGTGGCCATGAGAGCATAGATGTTGCTTCCTGGTAAGCTCCCAGGTTTGGAGGCCTGTGACATCAAACCATGCCCCCTTCCCCTTAATGTTCTTTGTTACAGAGGCTGCTTTTGGCCAGAGACTGGAAAGGTTTTCTTGCCTCCAGGGAACCTAAGGCAGGATACAAATGACGGAATGCGTGATTTGAGGATGGGTAACTCTGGTAGATTAAAGAAAGACACCTAAGCAAGGCACAGTCATCTGTCCTGTTGCAGAAGCACAGGTATCATTTTAATAATTTAACAGGGGGGAATGATTGGGGCCCAAAAAATACCAATTATGGTATTTCAGATACAGGCCTCAAACTCAAGCTTGAATCTCACATTGTCTTTTAGATGTCCCACTGGTTACCACCAGATGGCTTGGCCTGAGTGGAGAAAATCTCCTAGTTTGCATAACAACAGACCTAGGCCCTGGGTGGGCCCACACCTATTGTGAGGGCTTGTGTACTTGCCTAGGGACTGGTGAGAGGCTGGTGAGGACATGCAGTTTTAGAGGTGCCTCTAAAATAAAAGGAAATATTTGATATCAGCTTTATATATGATACTAGATGTCTTTTGATATCACCCCCACTGTTAGAAAGCTATTTAAGAGGATGCTTGAATAAACCGTGGACTCCAGACTCCAGCATGGACTGAGAGCCCTCCTGAAATGACAAGATGTCTGTGTCTAGTCCTTAATGTTGTTGGGTAATTTGCTTCCCCAGGTCCACACTCTCCCTCCCACTCAGGGATGGACCTGGGGTTGTTCTGGTGGTTCGGGTTACAGCCCCAAAGACATCAGTCCGGAAAAGATGGCCTTTGTAGCCTGGAACTGATACAGGATGGACTCCGGCAAAAGACAAAGCATCTATGTGGAGCCCAGGAATCTAGATCTAGGCAGACATTACCCCTGATGATATCTTGAACCTAGTGTGTAGAATGGTGACAGAGAAATGTCTTCCTTGACCTAAAAGACCATAAGGCAATGAATGGGTGTGCTCTTTAACCATTAAATGTATGGTATATTTTACACATGGATTCAGAAAACTAATGTGCACTTGAAAAAAATGTTTCATACAATTAATCCCTTGCAGTTGTCTTTATTTCTCAAGTTTTTGATCTTTATAAATTCAACTTTTATTTGTGAACATGGATAATCAGTAAGAAAAATCTTCATGGAGAGAGACAGTAAGGAGATGATGGGTAGAGGTGGAGCTGTTTCTTGGGAAAGGCGCTTGGCTTGTGGGAAGGCCAGAAGACTCTGATGGCACAATGCTGTCTGCTAATCCAACTTAAACCGGAAATACTGAGGATCTAATATTCAGAGGGTTCTCATTTCTGAATAAATTAAAATTATTTATCTCTACTTGGAATAGTTCTTAAAGGGGTTTTAAATACAGGAGTCAATCAACAATTTTTAGCTATAAAAATGATGTCAGAGCAACTCCATATTCAAGTGAGGCCAGAGATATCCGGCTGCTCCCCACCCCCAAGGGACTACTACCAAGAGTTGACTTCAGTCAAGTTGATAATAATGGTCTCTCTGGTTCTTAGTTCTGGATTTGGTACAGACAATTCCATTTGAAAAGTCTGAGGGTGTTTAAATGTATCCAGTGCATTACCAACCCTAATTATTCCTATGTCTGATTACTTGTCTCCTCCATTTTTCTGTTGATGAAGGGTTTACCTCCCTCTAGCTTTCATACTGTTCCAATTTTTCTGAAGCTTCATTTTCAAAGTTATTTCCCAATGTAACCCTGTCCCCTTTCCTGCAATGTTGCATCACCTACATGACATTTGTTTTTCATGTCACAGATGCACTGTCCCCAGTAGGAAAGATGACCCAGCTCCTTTAAATAAGAAGGAAGCCTGGTACCCACCAGTTCCCCAGCTGAGGTGTGGTAGCTCTTGCTTGGGGTTGAAAACACTTTCATAGAAACTCCAGTTTCTCCTTGCATGAGTACTTTATTGGCAGTTCCTTTAAGGGACATAATTAATTTTGTGGTGTGACTGGTGCCGTGATTCAGTGCGGTGGAGTCATCAGGAGGAAGGCATCAGTGTGGTCTCAGAACGTCAGGACAGTACGGATACTGAAAATGAAACATAGGGTGTTGTTTCCACGTTCCCATGACTCACAGTCCCCGTGGGAGTGAAGAAAGCACGTGCTGTGAGTCTACAGAAAATCCATCCCTGTTCCCAAAGGTTCCATGCCCATCCCTGCGACCAAGGTCAAGTCCTTAATTGGGCGATCCATCTTGTTCTGATCTCTCTTGCCTCGTCTCCAGCTCTAAACTCACACAGAGCATCTTAATATGACTGCCATTTAGATTTTGGTTCCTAGTTGGCATTCTTAAATAATATAAAGCCTGCATGCCTGGTCTAAGAAATGTAACAGTGGCCAATAACAGGCAGTCATTCTTGCTGCTTGCACAGAGTTTGTTGGACCTTTTTAGGCCTTGTTTCATTTAAACTTCATTCTAAACAGCAGCACTATAAGGTAGGCTATCATAGTTTGTCCATTTCTGAAATGTGAAAAATGAGGCTTAAGTTTGTAAATTGCTCAAGCTCACAGGTCTGTGTGTAGAGCCTGAACTGGTAACAAAAGCCAGGCACCCCATTTTGTTCTTATCCCATTTCTCCTTCATCTTCTTTAATCCATTTTCCCTGCCATAAAAATAATATTTTCCTGCGCCTGCCCCATATAAATAGAATGTTAAGACTTACCTCTTTCCAGCACGAAGCAGATCAAATCCTTCATTTATTTTCTCAAAAGGTAAAACATGGGTAATTAATGGTTCCAGTGGAAACTTCTTGGCCATAAAATCAGCCACAAGCTTGGGGACGGCATCTTTACTCTTAAACCCTGGAAGGAGAGCAGCACCACCGTGAGAAGCAGTCACTGCAGGCGGGAGTCAGATAGGAGACTTCCCAAGGCAACCAAAGTTCCTGAAAGTGTGCAAGTCCAGAGGCTCAAACACCCCCTGCACTGCACTAACATCTTAGGATATGTCACCTGACAGACAGGGCCCCTGGCTGATGAGGGCAGCTTAGGAGTTCTTCCAGGGGAAATTATATGACAGGTGTTTATACTCAGAGAAAGGGAGCTGTCCACAGTCAGGTAATGAGCACAGGCATAAACTACTGCCTTGACTTTTCTGCATTCTCTGAGGCACTGGGGGCCTCACAAAGACACAAATAGAAGGAGCCAGAGAAGCCCTGGGGACACAGAGAAGCCTGTCTTGGGATTTCCTGCATTAGTTCTTGCTCTAGAGAGATCAATGATTTTCATGTTTTTAAAACATGTTGCCTTCTAAAATCACAACTTTTCTGTCTAAAAGGGAAGAAATTCTGAAACAAGTTAAGAATTTGACCCTTAAAGCTGGCGAGATGCCTCAGTTAATAAAGTTCTTTCTTGTTTGCTTTCTGGCATAATATTTTTATAGACTATCTGGGAATTTCCCATAATGCCGTCTGACCCCATTCACATCCTGTACCCCATCACACTCACTTCCCAGTCCTCCCAGGTTCAGCCCACAATGCTTGTGATCTGTCCCAGGGGAAACAATATACCACGTCCAGTATATATTCACTGGAGCATGGTCATACTCCCAGTGGCCAGCCCATTAAAGAAAACTGAGTTCTTCCCTGTGTCCACCACCACCAGCGGCCACCAACTGTGAAGTGCTGCAGTTTAGTATCCCTAGCACAATCTTTAAGAGTTCCCTTCAATAGCTTCCATTGTCTGGTCTGTTTTTTGTGGAGCCGGGGAAGTGAGAGAAGTTGTCACAGAGCTGAGTTTTATCTCCAGAATAAAAAACAACAACACAAACAAAAATAATAACAATAACAATAAATGGCTGATTCAGTGCTGGGGGATCTTGTAATTCCAGGTCTGGAGAGAGGAAACTGGTAGATTCCTGCACTAAATGGCCAGGAAGTCTATGCTGACTGTGAGCCTCAGACCACTGTGACATCCTGTCTCAAAGGACAAGGCAGATGGCCCCTGTGTATGGACATCAAATGTTCTCTGGCCTCTACACACATCCACACTTCCACCTTGACACACCCGAAGACAGACAGAACTGGATCCTTAACTGTAAACACATACCACCAAATATTGCTCCTTTCCAGGTGCGACCCAGCAACAGCAACATGCGGTTCACGGAGAGTTTGTGGGCATTAGGAGGCACCCCGACAATGACACTTACTCCACATGCTGCATGGCAGCTCAACAGGGAAGAATTCTGGAATAACAAATAATATTTAAGTGGATTCTCTTGTGGTTTCTACCCACCATACACAGTTTCATGTAATATGAAGAAATGTTTGGATAAATTGTGAATAAAAGAGTGAATGAATGAATTTATGTTTAATTCTTACTTGCAAACTAATAAAGAAGCAATGCCCATTGTGTGCATGGAAGTTTTGGATTTTCCAAGGAGAACATTGTTTCCTCACATAACTCACAAGCAATCCATGAGTAGGTTAATTCTCTTTTTGTTTGTCCATTAATTACAGTTTTGAAGCCTGTACTCTGAGCTAGAAATTTTCATGATGAAGATGTAATAATGAAAACATCTAAAGTTCCCTCTCATCCATTTGTCAAGCTCCCATTTTAATAAGAACCTGCTCTGGTGCTAATATCAAGAGCAGGCATGCATTACTTGTTTATGCCCCCAAAGTATGCATTGGTTTGACAGTATTCTGTTATCTGTAGACATCCAGGAAGTTTGCATCTTTCAGTTGGGTTTTTTTTTTTTTTATAGCATCAATAGTAGAAAATCATTTAGAATCCTCCAAGATACATGTTGACATGTCTTTTGATTTTGACATTTTGAAAACCAAATGACCTCGGAACATGTGGTATCAGACTTTTGGATCTTCAAATCTACTGACAACCTAGTTTAAGATGAGCAAATAGGGAAAACAGAGAGTGAATCACAGAAGAGCGATGGCCCTGGGAAGACCCAGAACCCATAGCTTAGAAGGATTCTTTGTCCAAAGAGGAGATGCCATGCTCTCTTGGATCTTCTGTCACCTATGGCATCTTGTCTCAGTTCAAGACTGAGAAGAAGCTCACTGTCAGGGTACCTTAGCCATTCTCTATTACCAAGTCAGCCAAGGTTTTCTGGAGAACCTCAGTAATGGTTATTTGTTAGTCTCTAGGGTCAATTCTCTAGAATTCTAGAGGTCTCTTGTTGGGTGAAATGTAACTGAAGAAGTATTCTTTAGCAATGGATGGCAATTGCAACTATTTGAAAGTATTATGACATGTATTTCAAGAATACAAGCACTATAAATTTAGCAATAGGATGTCTTTTCATTATCCCCAGCCCACCTTAACTTAGTGCTTACTACATGGCAGTTGGCTTTAGGGTAATTGTGTTACATGCATTATGTCATATAGATCATAAACAAACCTACAAAATGTGTATCTCTGTGATTTAGGTAGTATGGAAGAATCTGTGAATTCTATTCTGGGAAGTATGTACTCCAACATGGAGATCTGAGTGTTTCCAGGTGCCCAGCACTGTGCTGTCTCTGTATTGAATACATGGTGTTCTATTAAAGCAGTCACTCCTCTACATATTTTATGCCAATAAAATAATACTTAATCATTATTCTTTTTGGCCATATGTTGAAATGTGCAAATGCTTTTTGGAATATTTAATTTCAAATATTAAGTAATAATAATATAAAGACTATGGTAGTAAATCATATTCATCCATTTAAGACCAAAATTTATGTTTAAACTTTCTAGATGAATTGATTTTGACTAAAAAAGCTCCATTGAAAGCTTTCCTCCATTAAAGGAGGGGCATTGTTTGAGACAAGTTTGTAGAAGTGAGAAAAATGAAAGTTTCTCCAACAGCGAATTAAGCAATCTGAGTAGAAACAGGAGATGGAGAGTTTCCACTCATCTCTTTCTCCAGCAGATTTCTATTGTGCTGTCTAGAGCATATTACAGATGAAAGAAGAACGGATCTCCAGGCAGGCATGCCACAGTACCTACCATGGTGTCCAGTCGACCGATTACTTCAAAGGAAAAGTCCACCCCTCCATCCGTCATTTCCTGGAGTACTTCCTCAATGGGTTTGTTGTAGTCTTGAGGGTTGATGCACTCGGTTGCACCCAATTGTTTGGCCTTTGCAAACTTGTCTTTGTTGATGTCCAGAGCAGGAAGCCTGGCTGCTCCAGCTGATTTACAGCCAATGATGGCAGACAGACCGACACCTCCAAGGCCAAAGACAGCACAGGTGGAGCCTGGGGTCACCTACGTTTTGTCAGAAAATGTAAAAGATGGATGGAACAGTGGTTGATAAGTAGTGCTCCACACTACACAAGGCACCTTGCTTTGCCCATAATCATGGCTACTCAGACTTCATTCCATCTGCTGGTAAAACCTCTTCTGGCTAAAGTTGCCCAAATGAGTGCATCATTACTTCTCAAAATTTGCTCAATATTAGCCACACCTGGAGAGCCCCCCCCCAGTCCAGTAACAGTCTCTACCAATTAATTGGATTCTCTGCAGGAAGAACCCCATTCTTCCTCCAATGGGAAACCCCAGTTGAGGACAGTTTACTGGATGATCTTTGAACTCAACACAGAAATGTCTTTAATCTCCGAGAGCCACACAATAACATCTTACACATACACAAAAGCAATTTCATAAATGAAACAAATGATAAAGGAGATTACAGTGTAATCCAACTTCCCATCAATCATGAACTCTTGATCACTAACTGTGAGTTGTCACAAGCAGGGTAATTAGAGCAGCAGAAGGCTGGTAAGCATTGCAAAGTCATTCCTGGCTTAAAGCAACAGGAAGGTGGATATGAAACTTTAAGGAAATCCAGGATGGGCCAGTGTAATCTCTGTGGGACTTAGAGGGGGAATTTTGAAAAGAAGCAAATGTAAAGCACTGAAACAAATTTTCCCTTAGTGGTGATTATTTTAATGTTCATCCATCAGATGCTCTTAAATGCTATGGCACACATCACTACTTTCTCCCTTGCCCAGAAAAAAGCAAGGCATTTGACTGTGATGGACGTAATAGCCATAAAGTCCTCTAGTTTCTGACTCAGCAGGCAACTTGAGAGAAGTTCTAGTCTCTCCTTTAGTAAAGCAAACAACAAAAATTTAGGCAAATGGCTACACCTTATTGGATCTAGTTTCATAAAATCAAAGATACTACTAGATTTTGCAACCACTGGGAAGAAAATTATTTTTAAAAAATTATTGCCCAAAATTGTCACCTCTATTGAGTGTGTGCTTGTGTGCACATGTGTGTAGCTTTGTCATCAGAGAAGACAACATAGTGATGAGGTCTCACATGTAAGAAATGCTTTGCTAAACTCTCTCGTTTCTTCTAGGATTCACTCAGTAGGTGGCCATGGATCAGGTCCATGGAGTAAGGCTGGGAGAGAACAAACTATTTGCTTTGACTGCATCAGTATCTCACAGAATCCATCATGACTGATACTGAGTGTAGTGTCTTTCTTACTATAGAATGAGTGATTACATGAGTTCCCAGATCTAAAATATGGTGGTGATATAGAAAATAAATATAGAATGTAATTATTGAACATAAAATATTTACTTTCTCTTAACTCAGTATCAGCATAATTTTCATCTGAAATAAGCAGGTGAATTTCCTTCATGCATTTACATTCCTCTTGGGCTTATTTTCTACTAATAATTTAATCAATACCATAAACCTTTGAAAATGATGTAAGGGAATCCTAGAGTGATGTTTTAATGGGTTTACTAACAAACTTGCTTAGGAAATATGATGTCACACAAAGTAGAGTTTAGCTAAAGGAGCCCTGTCTTTAGCACTACCATAGGCAGCACACTAAGCACTGTGTCAGAAACTGTAGGAAAAGGTTTACCTCTAACACAATTAAGTCTAGGTTTGCTGGGGAAATGTTTCTGTTAAGGATGGTTCACAATCCTCCTAACAAAAGGAGACAACCCTGGCCCAGAGCTGGCCATTAACAAAGACTGTGCCTCATCCTGGTGCTCTTTCAAGGAACAGCAGGCAGTTCAGAGGGGCTGCACTGGCCACAGTGCCATTAAGTCCTGGTTCATCGTTAAGACTCAGTTTCTTTTCAGCAAAGTTCCACCATTCAGGGAGGTTGGCTTTGGGTAACACTGTTAGTCTATATTTTAAAAAAGCAGAATTGGACTGAACTAAGCCTTCTGAATGTGGGTGTCAGTTAGGAGGCCTGGCCAGTCTATGGGACCTGTGGTAGCAGAGCCAGTATCTATCCCTAGTGCACAAATGGTCTTTGGGATCCCATTCTCCATGGAGGGTTACTCTGTTAGCCTAGATGCACAAAGGACCTAGGCCCTCCCTCAAATGCTATAACAGTTTGATGATACTCTATGGAAGGCCTCACCCTCCCTGAGGAGTGGATGGAATATGTGATAGATAGGGCTTTAGTTGGGGGGGGGGGAGGGAACGCAGGGAGCAGGAGCTGGGGTTGATATGTAACTTAAGATTGTTTCTTAAAAAATAAAAATAAAAGTCTCCACCACTGATAAAAACAAAAAACAAAAAAACTAAATGACAAAATGTTTGGCCTAAGGTGTGGCTACTGGATGTCTTGACCCTCAAGATAAAATTACAGGATGTTTGGCTTAGGGTGTGGTGACCAGATATTTTGGGTATTGGGAAGGTAATTACCTTTGTTTTTTTCTTGTATCATGGTAAGGAAGTCTTTTGCTCTCCCCTTTTGCTTGGGGCATATAAGAGCAATGAGTAATAAACTTGGGGTGTCTACACCATTCACTGAGTGCACTCCCAACTCAAAAAAAAAAATACTGTGACAGTATCTTTGCTGTGCCGTTCTCCCCACGTTGGCTCTTTTTTGAAAACCATGATGGCATCTCCACTTTAACAACCTCCCATTTGTCCCAAATGGCCAGCTTGACATTTTCTGACTCTTTAATGTTTTGGTTGCTCAAAGTGTCTCTTGGGACTGGCACATAACAGAGCGTTGCAGACAACAGCATATGTAAAATGTTAGAGCTCAAGATCTATGTAAATTTAAAATAATTTCTATGAGAGGCCAGTTTCTATTTGAACTGTGGAGACTGGGTACATATTATTCTAGATCTTTTCTCGAATGTGTGAAGTGAATTCTCACTGGAGTTGGAGAAGCTTATTTCTCTTCTACAAAACCACCCTCTGATGCCTTGAGCCATTGCTGCTCTTTTGGTCTTCACAGAATGCATGTAGCTTTGTCCATGGGCCACTGTCCATCTTACCTTGGCAACTTTGACAGCAGAGCCATAGCCAGTTGAGAACCCGCAGCCGATGAGGCAGACTTTCTCGAGTGGTGAAGCTCCGTCGATTTTAGCCACTGCTATCTCATCTACCACAGTGTACTGGGAGAAAGTGCTGGTGCTGACGAAGTTGTGGATTGGCTTCCCCTTGCAGGTGAACCTGCTGGTGCCATCCAGTAGAGTCCCCCGAGGTTGTACCAAACTGGTCAGTGAAACACAGGCATAAAAAGCATATGAGACAGAATAAAAGCAGTGTGCCACCTAATTGTTCAAGAAGACAGTAAGAAACCTACTCATTTTTTATACACAAGTTGTTTTCTAATACACATAAAACAAATTAAACTTGATCATAGCATAAAATTGTAAAAAGAATTTGATGGCTAATTTTCTCCTTTTAAAAGATATTGTTTTATTTTGTGTGCATGTGGAAATATCCATGTGTGTATGCCACTTGTGTGTGGGTGCCCTTGGAGGCCAGCAGGGGGCGATGTGTCCCCTAGAGCTAGAGTTACAGATGATTGTGAATTGTCCAACTGGGTGTTCTAGAACAAGATGTGGCTTTAATCACAGAGTCATTTCTCCATGGTGCAGGTGTTGGCTTTTCAAAGTGATTGTGCTTCTCTTAGTATTAAATGAATACTTACACCAAAATCTTAGTCATCTTTGGAAGAAGCATAATAAAATTTGACAACAAAGTGAAATTTACTTTGGAAATCTGTTTTAAACAGTGAATTAGATATTTTCCCTATGAAATAAAAGACAACTTTTGCTTTTTGTTAATTATTTATAAGTAATTACATCTCCCATGCCTCAGCTTCCTCTTTTGGGAAGGACTCTCTTGGCAACAGAATTAAAACACAAGCCCCGAGGGTAAAGGATTCTGTACCTGGTTTTACAGAAGTCACCCCTTCTCCAACGCTTTCCACAATACCGGCTCCCTCATGGCCTAAAACTGCAGGAAGAGGTGTAACCAAGCTTCCACTAACCACATGATCATCTGAACGGCAGACGCCCGTGGCCACCATCTATAAATTAGAGATAGAGTTCACTCAGTGAAGTTCCTGACCGTGGGGTTTAACACTCTGTTCTGAACTTGTGCTTCTGAGGAGTTTGCTAACATTCCCATTGCTTACAAATTCAAAGATTCGATTTAGGTCCAAGATTCCCCTGGGCTTTCATCTATCTTTTCCCAATTAAACAGCTTAAGTGTCAATGATCATTTTGTAAGTTTAGCTAAAATGTGTATTTTATACAATATACAAAAGTGCATGCTCTGTTCTGAAAATATAAATAAGAAAAGAGCACCAAAAATTGCCTAATATTAATTGCTTTTTGGATATTAATTGCTTTTTGGAATCAAGATGCTTAGCACTTAGAAACACGTAATAGTTAAAAAGTTTTCAGGGATTACATTAAACATACTTTTTAGTCTGTTCAAATTTTGAGTAGTTGTTATCAATAGCTTGCCTTAGCAATAGATTAATTCTATTGGACAAGCCTCTTATTGGGGCTGTTAATGGACTTTTGGATGGGTCTATGGAATTTTATGAGTTTTTCAAACCTAACTTTATAGATGGTCAAAGGGGGCATTACCTTAATGCGAACTTCATGGGCCTTGGGGGGTGCGACTTCTATGTCCTCGATGGAGAAGGGCTTGTGAGGCTCCCATAGCACAGCAGCTTTGCACTTGATTACCTGGGAGATAAAGGGTTACTCACTGCTCCATGAGATCTGTCCTGGGGTCTGCCACCCATTATTACATAGATACAGACACTTCTCAAATACAAAGAGCCAATTGACCCTTAAAAATGGGTGACCCCTTAGCCCAAGTTCAGAAAATTCACCTAAATATAATCCACCTTGATGAATTGGTGTATGTTCTGTCAGGCCCTGCTTGTACCTTTTTTTTTTTTTTCTTGACAGTCACTTGTACTGTTCTGAAAGAGGTTGTTTGACCAAAATCATTGGGTATATGTTTAATTCTAAATGATAATTATTAATATATTTTTGAAGTGTTGGGGACAGAACCCAGAACTTTGTGCTTTCAGGCAAGTACTCTGTCACAGAGTACTTAAACCCCAGCCTTTGGATTTCTGAGACAATATTCGAATCAGCAGCCCAAGCTGGCCTTGAACTAGGAATCTTTCTGTCTTGGCCTTCCTAGTGCTGGGATTTCAGAGATGTTCTACCATACCTTGCTACGTGATGGGTTGTCCTTCTGTTATATATATGTTTCTCTTATTAGTTGATGAATAAAACACTACGGTCAATAGAGACAGGGAGATAGGCAGAACTAGGAGGAGGAGAATTCTGGGAAATATAGGTCAGAAATAGTTGCCTTGTAACCAACCACCAGGAGGATAGGATTCAACAGGTATTCTCTGGTAACATAAGACCATGTGGGTATACTTAGATGAATAGAAATTGGTTAATAATTAAGAAAGAGGTAGTCAATAAGGAGCCCTAGACACCGGCCAATAGTTTCATACTTAATATAGCATCTGTGTGTTTATTTGGGGCAAGGCGGCTGTGGAACCAGGTGGGGAATCCTGTAACAAAATGGTGCCCAGATACGGTTTGATCAAATTAACATGCAGAACCCTGCAAAAGCTTGGAAAGGGATTTAGAAACAAAAGAACAAAGTCAAGCATAGCTTCTTGGTAGCAACATTTTTTTCAGATGGGCTCTGTTTGTTGGAGACAATCGGAGGTGTGTGGCTCCATTAAGAGAGGTTTCCTGACTCAGCATAAGTGGCAAAAAAAAAAAAACAAAAACAAAAAGCAAACAAACAAAAAAACTGGCTTGGCTCTTTCAGACATGTTGTTTAGCAGATAAAAGCCTCATGACCAGAAAAAGATAAAGATTTACAGTAAAGACAAACTCAGATAAAAAACTTCTAAAGGGTTTATAGTGTGTTTAAAAATATATGTAGGTTTGGGAGAGAAAAGAAACAGGAAAAATATAAAGAAATAGAGTAATATAAAAATATAAAAGAAATAGAGTAATAAAATGCCACGTGAAGATGGAAAGTACACAGTGTTTGGATACTATATGTTGTGTTGTCTTTAAATTTTTCAGTTGTTGGGAAAGAAGCAAAAACTGCTAAAAGACATTTGATGATAAATGTTGTTGGATTAATCTAACTTACATATTTTGTACATGCTTTGACTTCAAAATTTAAGTCTAACGACAGGTTACTTTAGAAAAAGGTTTTGTTCTTGTTTCCACAGAAGATGAAAATCTGTGGATTCCTTCTACACCAATATGGTTTGATCAAGCAAGACCCCCGAAGCAGTGGCCCAGGTGATCCAACATCCATGACACCTGGGACGATGCAGCCTTGTAGAATACTACAAGGACTGGATCAAGTTTCTGGGTTTTCTCATGATCTCTATGGTTTTGATAGCACCCCCAAACAACAGGAAGCAGATTGGAGAGAACTATACTCACATTCCCAAATATTGTTTATAAATGTTTGTTTTCATTTCAATGTGGTTGGTTATAAGTGGTTAATGATCACAACCAATAGCTTTCTAAAGGAAAAGGGGGGAATACGCTATAGAAATGAATATTGTGTATTGGTATGGATTTTGGTTTATTGATACAAATTTAAGGTGAATCTTGTGATATGTATATTTCTCCTCTTGTTTAATATTGTGTTTATACCACTCATTTAAAAATGTAATGTATAATTAAATACGGATTGTATATAGTCACCTATAATAGTCAAAACTTATAGTTAGGTTTTCTAGTTATATAGAGATATATTTCAAATGGATAGATATTCTTCAAAACTTTCAAAGACCTACAGAATATGGCATTGAAAATGGTTTAGGGTTTTTCAGGACAGTGAGACACAACTGCTCCTGGCAACACCACTAACTTCAGAGAGGAGGATGAACATTGAAGAAACTCATTATGGAGTTTGCCTTCCACATGGCGAGACTATCCATTTGGGCAAGAAACTCTTCTTGCCTGGACTGTTTGACTGTATGCTATATAAACTGGTCATGCAGGACCCACAGGAAAGTGACTGCTGAACTTACAAAATGGAACAGTCCTTCAGGGTTCCTGCTTCATAGAAGAGTCTGCCAGACATTCTGCAGGACACAGAGAAAAATGACTGACAAACTGTCAATACAGGTGGACAGTGTGAAATTTCCTGCTTCAGTGAGAAGTCTGCTAGACACTGTGGCCTATGGGCTAAAGTGAGATGCCCTAATGTTACAGAAGAACTTTGGGTGACTGTCCAGGCTTTGAGATGTCTCTGTCAATTCTAGAGTTTACATATTATCCTTCTGTGGTCTTTGATGACGTTGAGATAAATAGCTATGGTCTAATCAGTTATGATGAAAGAAAGTTACATCAAGACTCACAAAGATAGGATAGATGGTAGAATATTTTCTTTAAATCTTGCTAAATGTTAACGGACTAAATAGCCTAACTATAGTTCTTACTTGAAAACTGTTTTGTTATATAGAATTTTACTATGTTAAAGTTAAAACACCTCTCTTTATTTAGACAGGAAAGCGGAAATGATGGGGTTGTCCTTCTGTGTAATATGCCTCTCTTATTGGTTGATGAATAAAACACTGTGTCCAATAGATGCAGGGAGATAGGCAGGGCTATGAGAAGAGGAGAATTCTGGGAAAGGTAGTCCAGAAACAGTCACCATGTAGCCACTGGGAGGATAGGATACACCAGGCATTCTCTGGTAAGATAAGACCATGTGGAAATACTTAGATTAATAGAAATAGGTTAATAATTAAAACCACTAGCCAATAAGTAGCCCTAGCCACCAGTCAACAAATTCATAGTTTATATAGCATCTGTGTGTTCATTTTGGGCAAGGCAGCTTAGAACAGGGCACAAAATTGCATAACAGCTACATTATTATTTTACTGTTCTAGGCAATATAAACACAAACCAGTTATCACCACTGTGCAGTTATTGACCCTGTACCTAAGAGCCTGGGATTCCCTGGTCCCTCAATTCTTGTTTGCTTGATATAATTGGGTTTCCACTTAACTTTTCAGTCATTCTTTTTTCCTAACTACTTTTCTTTGAGATGTAGTATGCCATCCTAAGCATAAATGTAATGTGAATTAGAATAAAAATACTGGCAAACAGCCCCTCCTGTGATTCTCAACCCATCCTTTCAACAGGGAACAGTGTCACACTCAGTATGCAGAAGCCTCTGAACATTCCAACACCTCGTTCTCACTGGGACCATTTGGAATTTTGACCCACTCCTAAGATAGCACCTGTGCCAACAGAAACATAAGCTTTTATAATTAAGCAATTTGACAGCACTATTCAGTTAATTATAATGAGTAACTTCTTGCTTGTCCCGGTACTGCACACAGATTGAACAAGGAACTGTGACTTTGTGAAAAACTTCATACCTACGATATGTGTGTAGTCTCAGTATTGACAAGTGATTCAGTTTTTCTTAGAATTAATTTTGCATAAAATCTGGACTTTTTTTAAGAGAGAAGAGACAGTAGTATAGAATTTCCAGAAATTTTGTGAGTTGCCCAAATAACAATTGCATGGTAATGTAATCTTACTGTGGACGATCCTAATGCTTTGAAATCAATCCATCTCTTGTCAGAAATTTTATCTAAAGGCTATGGGGACAGTTCCACTAAGTTCCTGGAGTCAAATCCTTTTATGAAACTCTTGTCAGACATAATGTTTCTGTTTTCACATATAAATATGATTACAAAGAATAACAGGCTATTGGTATCATAATATAAACACAGACTTTCCATAAAAGATCTTTTTTAAACTTCCTATTTACAAAGTGGTCATAGTTGGCTAAGAATAAATTCTCCCTACTGCAAAGTTAATGAGGAAGTGAGGATGGTCCCAGCTCTAGATTCTATGTAATCCTGTTAAGGATATTTAGTAGCAGTCTAGTTGCCCTGTAACCCAGTGCATACATACATTTCACATTGCATTTCATCCATGCTGTTTCTAAGTTAGGAATCTTCATCTTTTTGCATATCAATGAGAATATTTTTCTTACTTTTCCAGCTGTGCTCATGCTGTCTGTCCTTGCTGCTGTCCAGAGATTGATGGCCCCCGTAGGCGTCTTCCCTCTTCAGTACACTGGGCTAAGGTTGCACTCGAATTTTGTTAGCTGTGGTGTCAGCTGATTGTACATGTGATCTGGCCCTTTATGACACACCCATTTGTTTATTCTTGCTGCAAGTTAAGTAGAAACAAAGGGCACTGGCCTGTCAAGGAAAACTTGCTCTGGGGATGTGCTGTTGGGCACATTTTGTTTTCATTAAGTTCAACATTTCCTTTCTGTTCATTCTCGCCCTCACTCAATCCACTCTTTCCCTTTCTCAGTCAGGTTAGAGCTGTTTTCCTTTGCCTAAAAGAAGCTGTGACTTTACGTCCACATGATGCCTGGTAAGGAGGCGAGGCCATGAAACAGGGCAGAATGAACAGACAGACAGAGCTTCAGGGAGGAAGGCTTGGACTCTATTCCTCTTCAAAGAAAGCACCCCTGGCACAGCCAAGATGCTGAGGCCCCTGGTATTTCCTCAGCACACACTCCTGGTTAGCACTGACCAAGAGTCTGTGGCAGGCTGGAGCTGGCCCTGGAGGTGGCAGTCATGAGTAAGAAATGCACTCCAGTCCTGCCAAGAGACAGTAGCTACATCATGCCCTATTCCCCTGCCAAAAGAGTCAGAGGCTACAACATGCCCTCCTCCTTCTAGCTGAGAGAACTTGGACATATCTAATGTTCTTTGCCATACTTTCCTTCCCTGTAAGATAAGGATGAATTAGAGTGTCACTTCAAAGACTGCCATGACCAAGTTAAACAGTAAGCACATGTGCTTATCATGGATCCACTTAGGTAGGAGACAGCTCAGTGAGTTACAGTCACAGCCATTGTGCATGAAAATAAGCTGGCAGTACACTGGAGGAGAGAGGTTCCCAGGTGTGCTCGTCAGCTGTGTAGTAAGCGCTAGGAGAGAAAGTGTGGTGCTGACTGAGGACTCAGAGGAGGCTTGTAGAGAGCATAGCCTCGAGTTAGTCTAAAGAATGATTGCTTTGGCAATGGACCAAAAGCCACTTAAGGCATCTCATTTGTCCTTTGTTCAATGTCATGGGCTTGGGAACTAGAGCATGCATTTGATATGTATTGAATATCAAGTCTTCTACCAATGTTAGCTAGCCATAGTAATACCACTCCTTATATAAGTAGAGGCAGCCAACACATACACATATGTGCACGTCTCTCGGGTTTTCATGGAAACAATAATGTGGTCTGTGTCCTTTGTTAATTATGGAGGTGTAGAGAGTCAACTAGAATTCCCATGATCTAATCAGAAACCTTCTCCAGATAATGGCTGTCACCCTTCCCACCCATATCTGTTTAAAACGGTCTGCATAGTAGCCAGGTGTGCCTCTGGGTTCAAGTCTCAACACCTGTGAGAGTCCGGCTAGATTATTGGGTTTACAGAGTAATAGAAGCACACAGTTTAGCTATGAAACACAGATTTGTAAGAAGCGAGTGAGTGTGTATTGTGCTCACAAAGCTTTAGTGGGAGTTCTTCCTACATTATTACATGATCTTAAGTGCAAGATCACAAGGAAGGTTTTCCCAACCAGTTTTACAGATGAAGTAAGAGAAGTATTGAGATTCCCTAATGCCCTTTCTAAGACTTCAAGAACAGAACTGTGGGCAGGCTGGTGTTCAGGAGAGTTTTATGGTATGAACACAGTAGGCAGATCACAAGAGCATCAAAGGACAATGGGGGGGACCTTGGATTTGGAACAACTGAATCATAGGAATAATTCAATTGCCTCCCTCCATCCCTTATTCCCTCTCTCCCTCTTTGCCTCCCTCCTTTGTCCCCTCACTACTGAAGGAGCTTTGGTGGTAATTATTCTTTCTTATAACTAGAGTCTATAACTCAGGTGGTTCAGGTGTCCAGTTTTGGTTTGATGTCTAGTTCTGACACCTTCAGGTAAAACAATGCCACTTGGTTATTCAATACCAAATAGTCAGTCCTGAAAACACACCTACAAGTAACATATGGACTCAGAGGTTATATTTAGGAATATAACTATGTGTGCGTGCTATGGAATATTTATTTAACCATGCAAGTATATGTTACATTTGTTTAAGTATGTAAAACGTCTTGCATTTGTTTAGGTTGCAGATTACTTGTTCAACTATGTAAAGATGGTTGCTGTTTTACCTTGCCTGTCTAAGGCATTTGATTGGTCTAATCAAAATGGACTTGAGCCTAGAATTTAATATATGTAAAAATGGAAATCCATAATAACAAACAGAGGTAATAAAGAAATCAGTAAAAGCAAAGACAGTACTCATGGAAGATCATTCTCATGGATAAATCTCTCACCACTCAGTCCTGTTTTTTAAAATACACAAATAGCAATATCAGTCTAGAAACAGAAGGAAGGGAGTCATAAATGCATGAGAGATGCTGAAACACCTGTGACATTTGCAAACAACTTTATACTGACGAACTTGGGAGATTAAATGAAGTGAGCAACTTCATTAATTTTAGTTGATGCTAAAAGTTGGCATCTGGTCAAAGGTGAACCAAAACAAAACAAAATCTGGTGAACTCTGTGGCTAATTAAAACATTAAATGTTATTTTAAAACTTCATAAAAAGTCAACTACTTGCCAGAGTAATATGGGTCATAGTTCTAGAAATCTCTCGAAAATCTCTATTTTCTCAATTTCAGAAAACAGAGTGATTATTTATACTTCCCAATTTATTTGGCAATGTCAATATTGATAGATGAACTAACTTGGATACTTCAGGAGAAAACCGAACATTTAGTAAACATAGAAACAAAAATCTTTAATGAAGTACTGACAACTCATACTTGACAATATATAAAATAATTTATTTATGAACGAATAAAATCTACATGGGGAATGCAAAGTAATGTTCAAGTGTTACTGTAACTCAACAGAGAAGGCATGTAAAACATAGCAAAACAGAGGTAAGATGCGTATGATCACCCTTATAGATGAAAGTAGACTTTGATAACAATGTAGTTTCCATGCATGATGGCAAAATTTAAACTTAGAAAACCTAACACTATCAACAAACTTCATATTAAATAATTCAATGCCTATGTTTGACAACAAGATATGTAATTCCTCTCCCAGAAAGTTAGCGTTTACTCAGGGAGGGCATTCGAATGAGTACAATAGAGCAGCAGATGAAACAAAAAAAAATTGGACAGGCTACCTAAGGATGCCTTTGTACCAGATGACATCATTGTGATGTGATGAGGGTATGAAGTTGCTTTCTAACAGATGATGTCATTATGATTTGCTGAGGGTATAAGGCTGGAGTTCACATGCAGCCCTGGCTGAAGGGTAAAGTGGGTCAATTACATTAGAAAACAGTTTTGCTGTTTTTTTAAACTTCAATTTTCACAAAGCATATGAACTAGAATTTCTCTTATTTATATGAAAAGAATAAAAATATCTGTGGAGTACTTCTAGTGATTATTGCAAATGGCATGCCCATCATCTGGGGCAGGTATAAATTTCTTTTAATAAATTCAGTGGGCTACCATCTAGTAAAAGTAGTAAACACTTTATATCTCAAAAATATTCTTGCACAGTGGAGAGTGTATGATTATTTCTAGAATTTTTCATGTAATGCTGTCAAACTATTATTGATCCTGTGTAACTAAAACTATGGAAGACAAGACTCAGGGTTAGGCAGTGGGGTGGGGTGGTGTAGCAGGGTTTCACATAAAATTATAGAATGGCTTGGCGAGCTGGATCAGTGGGTAAAAGAGCTTGCCACCAAGTCTGACAACCTGAGCTCAGTCCTTGGGACCCACATGTAGTGAGGAAAGACCAGACTTCAAGCTGTTCTCTCTCTCTCTCTCTCTCTCTCTCTCTCTCTGTCTCTCTCCCTGTGTGTGTGTGTGTGTGTATGTATGTCTGTCTCTGTCTCTCTCTCTCACACACACACATCCACAATATAAATATATGGTACAATTAATCAATAAAATTATAGATTACATAAGCAACCTGAAAGGAGAAGGCAGATCTAGATTGTCTTGGAATGCCTATGTAGGCAGATGAACCACAAAGGGCTACAAGGGAACTTCAGGGAGGCCACAGTAGGAATACTGTGTCTTGTTTGCAGATGGCGAATAGTATTGTGGTCAAGGTTCATTGAGTTGTACAATTCAGATGAGTATATTTATGTGGAAAGCTGATGCGAGAAGTAAAGTAAAAATTAAGTTACCGTAGAGATGCAAATCTCAGAGCCCCAGGCTTGTTATTCACCCATCCTTCAGTGTTA